ATAGCAACCATGGTACAAACAACTATTCCGGTAACTATGGCACAGATAACCATATAGCAACCATGGCACAAACAACTATTCCGGTAACTATGGCACAGATGACCATATAGCAACCATGGTACAAACAACTATTCCGGTAACTATGGCACAAATGACCATATAGCAACCATGGTACAAACAACTATTCCGGTAACTATGGCTCAAATGACCATCTAAAGACTGATGTAAATGAACCCATAATAATCATCGATAAAATGTGTCAATGAAATAACTATAATTCGGGTAGTGGTGTAAAACGGCTTACAAAAGCATTTAATTAGTCAGAGTCAGACCAAATGAGCAGTATGGATTTAAAGAAATCGTTTAAATTATTCATTATTGTAGGATTGATTGTGCAATGTTGTATCAATGAATATCTAATTTATTAATAGTTTAGAATTAATGCGCGAATTGAAGCAGAAAATATTGATTAATAAAACTCAAATTTTATGAATAATATAATTCATATTTTTGTACGTACAAATAGCGCCAATATAATTAGAAAAAAAATCGTATTCTTGTCCAATCTTATTGAGCGCTATTTATATTTATAAAAGCAAAAAAAAATAAAACAAAAATGACAAAAAAAATTAAATTTGTAAAATGCATTATCTTTACTTAGAGTGAGAATTCTCCGAATTAAGTTTTCTGCTCGCCTAAGATATACTGGTTATATTATCAAATTTGCGTATTACTTTTTTAATGTAGCTTTTTATGTTATTACATCCGTACATGTATTCTATCAGTCTAGGGCTAAGTGAATCGCTTGACGATGAACGTTACTTGTTTTCCTAATGTTTTTTCTAATATGTTTTTTCAATTCTTCAAAAGATTTTTCGAACTCTTCTTCATTTTTACTTTGAAGATAAACAGTTTCTACTTTATTATTTATTAAACCGATTATTTCTTTTAATAAATTTTCTTCTATTTCATTAACAATCTTTTGTATAAACATTTTCTTGAATCTGTTCCATAATTTTATCCGTCAAAAACTTTCCAATTCCAGCAGTCAACATAGAGAGACCGAAGCTAATTGCTTTTTGTATTGCCCATTCTTTCCAACTAAAAATACCTGATATTAAAGCATTGCCTATCTGAGTCAAACCAAAGGCTACTAAAACAGCTCCGGCAATGACTTGAACAAGTCCTATCATTGCAACGGCAAAAGCATTCCAATCCCACCAAGATTTATCTTCTTCAATAATCAAAAGTTTATTAAGATTAAAACCTTCAAAAAA